GAACAAACCAGTCAAAGTCTCTTTTGTAGACGTAAATATCTCGACAAAATTTTTTCGACGATAAAAAAAATAGTATATATGTAGTTGTATTCATTTATTTATTTATTTTGTTTGTTCAAAATTTTTAACAATTTTATTCATGTTTCCTATATTTTTTTTTAATTTGTTAACTATGATTTGTTATTCGTATTCCGAAACTCGTTAGTATTTTGATATAAAAATTTTATGTATTTTGCAAACTTCTAGTCGTAAGTAAAATAGGATATTTGGTACATGAGTCTAAAAATGAGTCTAAATAAATATTTAACATTTAAAATCAAATAAACGAAAATGATAAATATAAATTAAATTGAACTAATGATTGTTATAACTGCCTGGTCGACGACGACCTCGTTTTATCCCAGTGAAAATAGCGACACGAAATAACTACTGCTTTATTTACATTGTTAATAAATTAATCAATAATCAACGTTTAATTAATTTTACTAATAAAAGTTAATGTTAAAAAACTATCAAATTAACGTTCAGAAACTATCGCTTTCCGAATAACAATTCACTAAAGTTTATCACAAAATGCAGTAAAAATACAACGCAGAGTCAAATTTTTTTAAACAAGTTTGTTCCATGAAACGCATTAAAAAAAGAAACATGCAAAATGGCCCTAAAAAAGATAATATCTTAAATATATTAGGACCCTACAATTTTTCATAAAAATGTCTAAATCAATATAAAAAATTAAATTAGTGACAAACAACATTACGTTACTCTCGAAAATTGTGAAGTAAAAATAAATAAATTAAAAATATTGTTCGTTGAAAAAACAATGTACATATATACACAAATACATATACACATATATACATACAAGTCCAAATAGGGTATGAACTGGTATTAAAATCAAACCCTGTAGAATCAACAATAAATTACATTTTGAAAACTGAATGGTATTAAAATCGAATCTTTTAAAATCAACAATAAATTACAATTGAAAATTGTGTAAAAAAACTAAAAATAATTATGCAATACATGAATAGAATTAAAATCAAATTAATTAAAATTAATATTAAGTTAAAATTAAAGAAAATAATAATAAAATAACAAAAACAACTAAGATCATGATCGTTGAAATACAAGAAAAATGTACATAAACATATATAAATACACATGCATACGTACATACAAAAAAGCATACGTAAATACACACATGCACTGGCGGCGACTTGTACGAGCTTTCGGTCTCGAGCCCCTCCCCCCCCCCCCCAATATTTAATCTTTCGGGCTCAAGCCTTTCTTGAGCCCCCGTCAATATTTGAAAATGTTTTATTTTCACTTTTTATTTTCTTAAAACTATATTGGCTGGATATTAGCTTATTTATGTTTAATTAATCATCAAAAACTTCTGAGAGAGCTGATCGAATTTCAACTATATTAAATAACATATTGCATAGAAAAAATGTTTGTCACATTTTATTACAATTAGATTTACTCAATTTACTCAATGTTTGTAAAACGTTGTGAGAAAAAGCTGATTTATTTTAAAAATAAGTGATTTAGATTTTTCATTATCGTTGATCGTTTCCTTTTCAAAGATGGAACACATTTTGTAGTTCAGTAAGTACATTTGAAAAACACGACTAAATGAGCTTACAATGAATCCACTTTTCTACGCTTTATAAATATTTTTTTAGGATTTTGAACACAAGTATTATTTAAAAAATCATTGCATTTCTGTGCTTTCCTTTAAATATTCATTAAGGTTTACAAATTAAGTTAAACTGATAATTAAAATTTATTAAAAACTAACAATTTTTTTAAACCAGAAATATTTTTTAAAAATTGCTACATTGGTTTTGATTATCCTTATTAAGAGTTAAGATTGAAAAGTCACGACTTGAAGCACAAACAATAAAAGTTTGGAAAAACATAAATTGAACAAGATCTTGAAACTATTTACTACCTTTGATGTTTTCCGTTGCTTTGGATATCTAAAAAATTATTATACAATTTAAATAATATGAATAATTTATGACTAATTTTTATAAATTAAAATAATCATCCGTTCGAAAATTTTTCCGATTGTTTTTAATTCTGAATGATGGATAAATTCATCCAAAAACTTTCTTGTAAAAAATCCTCTGCATCCGTTGATGAAAAATGTGATATTATAATTGCAGCAGATATAACTTCTGCTGAAAAAAGATTAGGTGATAAAGTTAAAAATGACATTCCAAAAAAAATCAGCAAAGCAAACCGTTGGAAGACAATCTCAGAATTTATGGCTAAAGCTATACGGCTGGTTGGAGTCGATGACTGACAATAAAAACGCGGCAGGAGCATTTTGCAAAATATGCAGATAATGTGAAAAGCTAAATTTGTTTAAATTTAGTACAAAGCGTAGCATGTGTATTATAGAATAGGGCTTTTCAAATTGGCAACACGCTTTAGAAAAATTCCAATCCTACGACAAATCTTGCAGCCACTGCAAAGCAGCCATGAAAATGTCTCACCTCCGATCAGGAACAAATATTGCTGGACACATTGTTACCGTCCACGAAAAACAAAGAACTTTAGCAAAGACCGCGATGTTTAAAATTATAACCACTTTACAATATTTGTCTGTTCAAAATATCGCTATACGCTTTCATGACGACGATGATTCAAATTTTCACTGTCTTTTAGGTCTGCATGCAGAAGATAGTCCTGAATTACAGCAATGGCTTGAACAAACATTATATCAATGGACTTCAAAAGATATTCAAAACGAATTGTTGGAAATTATGTCGCACAGAGTTCTCAGATCTGTTTTAAGTGATGTTTATTTGGGAATGTATTATGCCACACTTTTAGACGAAACTTGTGACATTGCAATTAATGAACAAGTCAGCTTAAGAGTTGTTGATAATGAATTTACTCAAGAAGAATATTTTCTAGAATATTATAACACGGACGCCACAGATGCTGGTACATTGTTCAAAATTTTGAAGGATGTTTTACTAAGGTTCAATTTTGATATCAAAGATTGCCGAGGACAATGTTATGACGTTTATGGAATTTATAATGAAGTACAGGTCAAAGTCTTAGAAATATCGCCGTCTGCAATATTTGTCTATTGCAACAACCACAATATTAGTTTGGCGTTTCACGATGCAATTTCTATGAAGTTAGAGTGCAGAGATACAATCCATTTTGTAAAAGAACTTGTAGCGTTTATCAAAGAATCTCCTAAACGTTTAGCTTGTTTTTCCTTTTTTCAACAAAGTAATGCTACAATTACATCAGTGCGCCCATTATGTCCAACAAGGTGAACTATGCGTATATGTAGCATCAAGAGCGCGTTAAACAACTGGACATCTTTGCTAAACTTTTTTGAAAATAAAGTTCTGTCAGAAATGAATATAGCGCCAAATGTGCTGGTTTTCTCACAAAAATTACATCATTTCATAATTATTTTGTGTTGCGCTGTTTGTTTTTCATATACGATAAATTGGAAACTACGTCGAAAGTTGTGCAGTGTCCAACACTCACTGTCTATGTCAAAAGTACGCAAACTCGTTGAAAGTCTAATGTTATCGCTTCAACAGAACCGATCCGATGAAACCTTTTCATCTTTTTGGTTAAATACCACTAATGATGCAAAAATATTAAATATTGAACATCCAAGTTTGCAACGGCAGCGAAATCGTCCGAAGCGTTTTACTGATGGTAAAAAAAACGTTCATGTATTTGATACTTGGCAGTTATTTTTAAAAAAATGTATTTAGAGATCGTAGATTCCGCTGTCTCTTCACTTGACGCTAGATTCAATTCTGATGGTTTCAAAAAACTTGCCGATTTGGAATCAAAAATTTTACATGCAACAACAGCTGACAGCCGTCACTTAAATTATATTGCGGAATTACATCCAGAGGTGTCAAAAGACAGATTACATTTACTTTTCAACATGTTTTGCGATATTTGTAAGCAACGAAATTTATCTGTTACCTCAGTCACAGACATTGTCAACGTTTTAAAAGATAAAAACAGACACGGTTTGAATGAAATGCTAGAAGAACTTTCTCGATTTATTATTAGAATATTTCTTACAATTCCTGTGGCAACATGCAGCTCAGAGAGATCGTTTTTCGTCTTTCGGCGCTTAAAAACTTATTTACGTTCAACAACCAGTCAGCTAAGATTAAACCATTTGGCCATAGTACATTGTTATAAAGAACGCGCCCACAATCTTTCAATTGAGGACTTATACAAAGAATTTACTTCTCGGAATGATTTGCCCAAAAAATCGTTTGCAACTTAAACTAGATTTTTTAATATTCGGGATATTTAAAAAGAGAATTTTATTATTTACATTATATTGTTTAAACTATTGTTAAAAATTAAAAAGAAATTTAAATTACAGTTTGACTAAAAATAATCATTATTAAAATTTCGGTAACTTTTGAGGCCCCTAATAATTTAACATATATTTGGATGGGCGATAGATCATGCACGACCTAGTTTATTGTTGTAATAAATTCGGAGTTTAACTTTACTAATTGGGTTGGTTGGTGTGACATTTTTATTGATGATATGTTTAAGAATAGCTTCATAAAAAAAAATAGCTTCACAAAATAACGTCTCACCTAATATCGAAAAAACGAACTACAAACATATTAACGCCAAACATTCGGTAGAATTTATAGAATATGTAAAAATTATGGTCTTTTACCAAAATATATATATATTTTTTTTACAATATTTTATAAATTCTATCAAATGTTTGGCGTTAATATGTTTGTAGTTCGTTTTTTCGATTTTTCTCACTAAAGTTTTTTGGAAAATGTTTAGTTTATTGAAATTCAAAATAAACTTATTTTCCGAATTCAGGCTGCAATTACTTTCAGAGTGAAGCTTTTCTTTAATGGAGTCAATCTTAGATTGCATAATTAACGTTTTAGCCATCTCTTTAGCCTTTTTGTATTCAATTTTGCTGATCTCTGAGCAAAAACGCTTTAATTGTCTTTTTAATCGACGGCAAGTCTGAATCGCATATATTGCACCTATTGAAAGTTGTTGATGTTTTGGACAAGTGCTACTTTGTAGATATTTATAGATTTGTTGTAGATGTTAAGAAAGCAGATATAAGGTCGTCCACGTCATGATTATCACGCGAAAGTATATCGTAAAATACATTAGAGAGTTCTTGTTGAAAAGCAGTTGAACTAAAACGACAATAACTACGACGCAGACAAACAATGATTGGAGGTTTTGGCTTTGATAATGTAGGATCGAAGGTCATAAGGCTGTGATAAAAAAAAAACAGTCCATAACTCCGACGTTGTCTATGAAGCATGTATGACATATACTGGTAATGGTGAGATTTAGTACATTACCGTGGGAATGAGTGGAAAAGTTAACGTGCTGAATAAGCCCAAGGGCTTTAATTGATGATTCGAGATGCTGTTCAATGACTCTGAGCTGCCCCGGTACATTGAAATCACCACAAATGATGATTAGGATGTTGAAATTGATAATGGTGTCGACATGATCCCAAAATTCGTTTATAAAATTTGAAAAACCGTGACATGGTGGCCTGTAGATTGAACTGGAGATAAAAGATTATGAATATGTGTTGGATTTAACTGTGATATTTTTGAAGCCAAAATATTTCAATTTATCAACAATTAAGGTGACTTTGAGAAGGTTGCTGTACACAACTTTCAGACCTCCTCCACGTTTGTCTTGTGATGAGCCACAATGACGGTGCAACATGGAGTACCCTTCTGGGCCCAAATCTTATTTTATGGCATTTGGAGCATCGGAAGTTACCCATGTTTCCATGATGGTGAAAACATCTGAGTTATTTTCTCTTAAAAGATTTGTGCGTTTAGAACATAGCAAAATGTGGCAAATTGGTTTCTGGATACTGAAGCGAAACCGAGTGAAAAGCGATTTATACTTTTTACATATAAATAAACTTTTTATATATTTTTTCCATAACACGATGATTTGAGAATATTCTCTTTTCAAATTTCATTCGGTTAGCAATATTGTTCGGCTATTTAAATCTATCATCTAGCCTAATTTAATGAAAGTTAATATAAATATTAATAAATAATGTAACTACTTGGGTGAAAATGACAAAAACGCATATATATATATATATATATATATATATATATATATATATTATTTCAAAAATTTATAAAGCGCCAATTAAAAAAAAGAAAAAATTTCAAAAGCGCTACTTTATAGTCGAGAGAATAAACAATTGTTTGAGTACATGTACATGATAACGAAACAAAAATCAAATCGAAAACAAAAAAGTCTTGAGATTCTTCTTGAAAGCATCCATGTTCATTTCCGGCTTCTTCAGGGACTCTGGTAGACCATTCCATAACACTGGACCCGCAACAGCAATCCCTCGTGCACCAATACACAAGTGAGCACAGTTTGCTATCATTAAATTTGAGCAATCAGTTCTCAAGCGAATGCCATCTATGGTCACTGATTTTTTCTTGATTATTTCCAACAAATATCTGGACAAGATTCCATTCATGGCTTTATACATCAAAATAGACATTTTAAAAATTACCCGTTTTTCCACATTCAGCCAATGAAGATTTTTTAGAGTCTGACTCACATGATCGAACTTCAATCCTCCAACGATAACCTTCGCAGCTCTATTTTGTATGGATTGCAGTACTTTAATTGATTTCTTTGGGAGGCCATGAAACAGACTATTACAATAGTCAAGCCGCGAGTGAATGAAAGCATGAATCAATGTCTGTGTGGCTGATCTATCTAAATAGCTTCGAATGCGATATAATCTGTGCAATTGATATGTACATGACGAAGAGAGCATTTTCAAGTGATATTTCATCGATAGATTTGAATCCAAGACAAAGCCCAAATTTGTTACGCTTTCACTGAATTCTATCTTTTGGCCACCGACGTTTACCGAGCTGATGTTAATTTTCGCTAACTGCTGCCGAGTTGCCACCGGCATAAACTTAGATTTGCATTGATTCAATTTTAATCCATTGTTCGACATCTAGGTATCAACCTCAGATAAGCACATTACCAGTCTTAGAACCTCATGTTTGAATGATTTTGGTTTACTCGTCAACATAACCTGGATATCATCGACATATGCATAACACTTAAAATCATAAGATTCAATAATCTTCATAACTTCCGAAGTATACAGTATAAACAGGATCGGTCCCAATACTGAACCCTGCGGAACTCCATATGAAATTGAACCAACTTTGGATGAAACATCACCAAATCGAACAACCTGCGTTCGTCCGACAAAATATGATTTAAACAATTCAATTGTTACTCCAGTTATTTCAAAATCATTACTTAGTCTATCCAATAAAATTTGGTGATCCACGCAATCAAATGCAGCACTCATATCCAAAAAGGTTAAAAGCGATACATTCTGGCGATCAATGGAGGCATAGAGGTCAGACAAAATCTTTAGCAACGCAGTTTCTGTGCTATGATGACGCCTATAGCCAGATTGATTGATGGGCATCAGACTGTGCAGTTCTAAATATGTTAAAAGTTGCTTAGCTACCACACGTTCAACAATCTTTGAAAGGAAACACAAATTTGATATCGGACGATAATTTTTTAAATCTTCTTTATTGTCTTTAGTATTTTTTAATAGAGGAGTCACAACGGCATGTTTACAATATGATGGAAAGATACCAAGTTTTAAACTTGCATTGATGAAACTTGTGATGAACGTAAGGAACAAATTAACATATTTCTTCAAGACATGCATCGGAATAATATCTAACATGCATGTTTTCGTTGGTGATTTAAGTAAAAGTGTTTTAATTTCAGACTCTGAAACTTCAGCATAACATGTGAACAAATTATCTCCATTAATTCTACTAACTCCAAATGCCTGCTTCGTTAAATCTCCAATTGTTGCTTTAATCGTATTAATTTTCTCTTGAAAAAAAATCATAAGTTGGTTCGATGTCAAATCATGTGAAACATTACATTTATTATCTTTACACGCAATCTTGTTGAATATTTTCCACAGATTTTTAGAGTTGTTATTATCATTTATTAATTTGTTCCAATACTGTTTACGTTTTTTAGTAGAAAGTTCTTTTTTTGCTCTTAGAATATTACGCCATTCATTTTTATATATCAAATCATGATTTGATCTATATCTTCTTTCCAACTTTCGGCAACGCCGTTTGATTGCTAGACACTCATCAAACCATGGTTCCGATACATCAACTCTAAAACTAACTTTCATGTACAGGAGCAACTTGATCAACGAGGGTCTTAAGCTCGCTATTAAATAAGTTGAATTCCCTTTCAACATCATTGCTTGCACATGGCTTTGACAAAGGGGATTCTGTAATTAATTTGACAAACTTTTTCTCATCAATTCCTTTCCATGATCTGATTAATTTTTTCGTTCTCACAGAATCAGCTTTCATCACTGGCATAGTCGTGGTCCGAAAATACACCGATTGGAAAAATCTTGCAAACCTGAACTGGAATCCTAGTGAGCTTACAATTAAATCAAGAGTTCCCC